GTTGGGAGGAAACTTAAAGATCATCTAGTTCCAAACCCCCCCTGCATAGGGGGACACCTCCCACTAGACCAGGTTGCTCCAAGCCCCATTCAGCCTGGCCTTGAATGCTTCCAGGGACGGGGCATCTGCAGCCTCCCTGGGAAACCTGTTCTGGTGTCTCTCCACCCTCACACTGCAGAATTTCTTCCTAATGTCTTCCTTGCAGGGAAAACATTTGGAAAGCTGTGGTGCCGAGGAGGATGGGTGCTTTAAAAATCTCACAGGTACTGAGGGTTGGTTCTGCTAGAGCCATCAGCCTGATCTGAGTGTGGATTAAGTTTGATTTTAATTGATATCATGGTCGTTGTCTTTTAAAAATGACGCTGACTTCTGCTGACCCAAAGATGAATTAAATTTTATTTGTAAGTTGGGAAATTCAGTCTGAAAATCATCAGCATTGGAATGGAGCCATTCTTGGAATGGGCTGGCTCTGCCCATGGCTTGTTCTCTCACACTGGCCAAACAATTTGCCTTCATCTTCACCTTTGTAAGTTGTGACGGGGCTAACAAGGCTTGCTTTCCTTGCCAGGGGTGTCTAGGAGCCCAGGTACTGAAGGATGTCCCCTCTTGTTCCTTGTAATTTGTCAGCTTTGAGGCATTTTAACCACGTATCTCCATTGGAAGGGGTCTGAATTTAATAGGTTGGTGACAGAAATGGTGAGAAAGGGTCTTCTTTCTTGGTGAGAAAGGCCCTGGTCGGTGGTGAGGATGCTCAGGTCATCCCCATCATCCTCTTGTGTCACAGCCAACCTGAGTGTTGTCTTCCCCATAAGTCATTTAAAAGCAAAGAACTAGTTGGGCTTCCCAAATACTGTCCTAATGCCAGACTTGGCACTGAACCTAGCAAGGCTTCTTCCACCCCTTGTGCCTGCGCTTGATAATAGTGTTTGTGTTTTAATGATTCCAGGAGGCCTGGGATTTGCTTTGACATACCGAGGTAATGTTTTCGTTTTCTATATCAAATCTAGGTCAATCTCTGGCTTAGCACTAATGCTGTACTGAGCAAAAAGGGATTGGCCACTAATGGTTTCAATTTAGTTTTTCATGGAGTAAAGGAAATTTCACTCAATAGCTATTTTCACTTTTATTCCACTGGCTTTTCCACAGGACCTGTTAGGATGGAGGGAGTGTTTGTGCTTTGATTAGGGGAGACCCAGCAATTTTGTTTGCCAGAATGAATTCTCTGTGATGAATGTAGATGAAGATAAGAGCTGCTCATCTGCAGTGTGTCCATAATACATGCCTTTGGAGACAGTATCCCAATGAAGATTAGGTGGTGGGAGATCCCAAGCGTAGCATTCTCTTTACAGAAGAGCCTCATCTATGATCCAACCTCATCCTAGTCGAGGTTCTCTGTGAAGAGTAGCATGAAAGAAAGAGATGAAGAGCAACTGCTGCCTTGTGTGTCACTGGCTGCAGACAACTCAGCCTGAATCTAGCCTTGGACAACGTCTTTGGGAGAAGGTGCACCCATGCCTGCAGCATGGGATGGCTGCTAGGACCATTTTCCATTTTCTTTTGTCTTTCCCTGCCCTGTGCTCGTCTGTGGGTACTATGGTGAAAATCCAGGTGTGATGATAGCAGAAACTCTGAGGCACCATGGCTTGGAGTATCAATATAGAGTGTGTGCATGATTCAGGTTGATTTTATGGCTTGGTGATCACCCTGTGCTCACTGCATGTTTGGATGAGACCATGCTACACAAGGAGATGGCAGAGGGAAGTTTAATGGGAACAGGGTGACACCCCATTTGATGACACTAAAAAGGGTCCTGGAGCCACACCAGTCTCTCCATTGCCATGTGGATGCTGCATTGCTGGATGACAGAACAGATGGATTAGAAGGTGCTTCCCCTCTTTGGAGCCTGTGGGTGAATATTGTGATTGTATTTATTTATTTTGAAAATTATGATGGCCATTAGCACAGAAATGAGATGCAGCTCCCTGGCTGCTGGCCAACCCCATCCTGGCTGGCGTGCAGCTCTTCTCTTTGGAGGCTGAAACAATAATGCCTGGGTGATATCAGAGCTGTACTGCTGAAAAGGCAAGACTGCCTAAACTGCAAGTGACAAATAAGAGCAAGCACTTGCTGTATGAGCTTGTTGCTCTCAGTTGGGGCATATATAGAAAAATCTCATGTGGTTC